TTGTGTCTGGGACCACGGGCAACGAGCCTCCTGCACAGAGATGTGCTGTGTCTCAACTGACTGATGTTACTCCACATTTCTCTCACTCAGTTGGGAACCTTTTCCTGGCTGAGAATCCACTAAGACTTTTTGAGGAATGGCAATGTACCACTGCCATCATCAGAGGGCAGGAAGATAAACTCAAATTAAGCTGCAAAAAGCCAGAGCTGATAAGGGTCGGGGAATACCAGAGCAGGTGGGATGGCAGGGGAGTTCCAGTAGCTCAGGCACCATCAGGTCCCAGAGCAAAACTGGCTACAGGGAGGAAGGCTCATTGTCATGTACATCATCCCCCAGTGTTTAACTCCATTCCTTAATGAGTCTCCACAATCAGGTGAGTCATTCAGGCAGAATTAGCCAGGTTAATTTAAACAGTTTAAATTCAGCATAATTCAAGGTGGGTAGGAATCAATGTATTCCCATGCTATTGCTAACCTTACTGAAGAGTGCCTGCACAGTTATCTGCTTTGCTCTGAACTGGAACAAATGTGTTTAGAAAAATGATTTTTTTTTTTTTTTTTTTTAAAAAAGAAGACATTAAAAATCCACTCTGGCCTTTCTGGTCTTATTATAGAAAACTAGTAGATTATTTCTATAAACAAGTAAAATGAGCAGCCAGCTTTTGATAACAACAAGAGAGACATTGACCTGAAGTAGTCACTGTAAAATCTGTGACTGAAAGATCCTGCCAAGGTATCAGGAGTTGCCAGGAAAGGAAAGTCTTCACTGGAAAATAGGTGAAACGCTAAAGAAAGCACAGCAAGCTGCAGTTCTGAGCTCAGAGGAAAGCTTACAGGGAGCTGGGGATTGAACTTGAGATCAAAATTGGTTCATCGAAGTTCACACTGAGTTGCTTTGGTTTTTTCTGCTATTTTAACTATGTTAGCTAAGGCAGGTTAGGAATCACTTCCACCCCCAGTGAAAACATGCGGGAACGTGGGTGACCTTTCAGACTCCCAGGACACCAGATAATAGCCGTTCAGCATCTCCCATGACAAAACTTCCCCAAAGGCTCTGCCTTACGCGTGCGTGCGATACAGTGTTGTGATTTCATGTCAAAGCTGGCAGGCCTGCAGGGCTCCCGTCCCTGTTGCGGTGCTCTGGGTGCACCCGTGCAGGTGTAACGCTACGTCCGCCTTGCCTGATCACAGGAGCTCTGCTTTGTTCCCAGGCGCCTCTCTCGGTCTAGGCTGTTGTAATTTCTAAGCTATTGGTTTTGATCACTTGTCCTTCCAATGACTTATGGTTTCTGTACACTTTAAGTGCATGATTGCTTCCTTTGATTTCTTCTCTAAGAAGTTAATACCACACGCTTCAAAGGCAACCAACAAAGGCCTTGTGCAAGGAGTCTGTAATGGTACATTTTGGGATTGCATAATTTTGGCATGAGCTCTGGAAATTTCTCCTTTAGTGACACAGCTCTCAGATGGCAGTTAGCTTATCTCGCAAAAGACAGTAACCCTTATTTTACTTACTGTAACTTCAGTTATTTTTGTCATTCAAAACCACTTCAAGTTCTCTTTTACTCTACTAAGCTCTGGAATGCAGAGTAGTTTCTTTTTTTCTCTGAGCACAACCTAAAGATATTAGGAAGTCAGGATTCCCACACCATAATAACATGGACTGCCCGAGTCATTGATTTTAGTCCCATTAACAAGCATTAATTCAGTAGTTTGTTCTGGGGGAGTCTGCTCCTAGCGCTGATACATGCCATGGAGCAGAACACAATCCTAAATCCCGCTTCAAACACAAACTTTAGACCATAATAAAAGAGCAAATGCTACAACTACTGTAGGCCATTGGAAGAGAAAGGGCATACAGAAGGTATTTGCATTGCCCTGGATTCCTGAAATGGCAATGACTCCATTAAATTAAATTTTCACATTCCCACAGGTACATATCCCATTTTACACCAGGCAGCAAAGGACTCTAGTGGTTCCTAGAGCAAAAGTGTATAGGGAATCTGCTCTTTCAGCTACCGCAGAATAAGAAACCAGGATATGAAATTTGAGGCAGGCAATTTAATTGAGAATAGATCAGTTGGTGATTAATGCATCAGCAGATGTGAACTGGCAAATTATTACTGGAATGAATGGAAATGTAGTTCCAGTCACCTACATCCACTGAGACTTTTGCTGTTTATGGTACTGCATGGGCTGAGACTTTAAGCAGAGCACTTCAGTTTTCCACTTGGGTTTTCCTACATAAGCTTGGTAAAGTTTCTTAGGACAGGGTAATCTCCCCCACCATTACCCTCCACAGCCAGGGGGGCTAGTTTAAGCTAAGCCTTGTTAGAAAAAGTCAACCAACCAATTTTAGGAGAAGTGTCTCAGAGATGGGATGAACTGCCTGCTGAACGTCTCTTACTTTCTGTTTACTGTAGAGACAGCCAGTAGACTTACAAGCCTTAGGCAGCTCATACTGAAATAGGCAGCTAAAAAAGGAGAGAAATGCCAGCCCTAACACCTCTCTGCCAGCCACCCACCTAGAAAGATGCAGACAATGTTTCCTTTCTGCACAGATACGCTGATAGTGCACATATAATACTGGTTGTGAAGCATTCAGACTTCTTGGTGGAAGAGTGTGCAATTTATTGGCTCATGATTTAATTAGGATTGATAGCTCAGGAATGTACACACAAAATGGGTAGAATAATTTGTCAAAGCTATGTAAAGCTTTGTATAACTATATCTTCCTTCAAAGGTTTGCTTGTTTTGATTTTCTTTGCTCTTATTTAGTTTGGCACGATTTGTTCTTGGAGCCAGTTGAGAGAAGAGTAAATAACTGGTTAGTAACGGAGCAAGTAAAGATTATATGTTGTTGTCTTTTAGCTGCTGTTTTCTGTGAAGTCTTACACATGTAAACAATTTATTGAGATCCAAAAGGAATACCTGTTAGTGTAAAGCTGCATGATTTTTTCAGGATCAGGGCCTTAGCTGTATAATCTGCTAGCAACTGAAATATTAAAATAATCTCTTGTTTCTCTAACTCCTTAGAAGGAATTAAAGTCTGCACAACTTTCTTTCTAATAATCCTTTTCTAAATGATTCCATCTGGTTGTCTACATTTTTTTTCCAGAGAGAAAATTCAAATATCTGAGCACTTCAGATTATTGAAATGTATCTAACTCAAGATGAGATCTTAAGTTCAGCGCTGTGGTTTTTTCCCAGCATCTTTTCATAGCTTGATGACATTTCTCCATTCATCTATTATTCATATATGTTCTTGTCCCATGTCTACCTGAAGTGTTATTTGTAACCGAAGTACTTGGAACAGATAATTGCATCTCTCACAACCGTCAGACTCATATGCTTCAGTAACAAAGGAAATTCTGACCTAAAGGAAGCTTAGCTCAGGTCACTGATGAGTGATACAAAGACCTGATTTGACATTTGGACAGCACTGCTTGGCTTCATTTTGTATTAGAACAGCTAAAACTGGAGAATCCGCTCATTTTCATAGTGGCAGGCTGCTGTAGTAGAGCATAGAAAATTGCATTAAATTGGCCTTGTTTTTATGTTTCATTTTTTGTACCAAAGACATCTTCCAGATTCTTAAACAGAGTTAGAATACTTAAACTGAGCAAAAGCATTTCTAATCAGTAGAAATACAGGTTCTCATCAGAATCTCCCCTTTTTTTCCACTTTTTTGGACATAGTCATCTCCTCTGTCAAAATGAGAGCTTCCATGGAAAATGGAGACTCTTGATAACATTTTTGAAGTTATTTGGACCATGCTGAATTCTGAAGGTCTTTATGTGTAGGTAAGAACTTCTAAGACACTAAATAAAATGCAATGTGATGTGACCATGCCCATGAGCTCACTGATTTCCTTTCCTAAAGGCCTTTTAGCTTTTTTTCTTTTGCTGTGCATAGCTCAAGTGGTCAGCCCAAAATTAGATGTCCATCTCACTGGTAATGTCTGGGATGCTGTGGAGATGGCAGTGCAGTCTCTGCGTTGAAATAGATTTATTTTTTTTCTCCCAAAATATGGATGTAGTCATGTAAATAATAGCTACAAGTTTTACTTTTGCCCTCTTTTTGGAGTAGGTAAACAAAATAAATCTCTCGCTTCTGATAATAGAAAGAAGCATGGGTACAATGTAAATATTTAGTTTTTCAAAATCATGTCAGACACAAGTTACAGAGGTAGTAATGCTCACACCTGACACCTGCATTTCATTTATCTCTCTACTGAAATTGTTATACCTGCCAATCCGCATTAATAGACCAATAGACCTTGAGCCCTCTTCCTTTAAGGCAATTGATGCATGCTTAGGACCTAAACTCTGATTTCAATGGTAGCCCAGCTGTGTGAAGAGGACCTGGATATTAATGCTTAAAACGCCTAATGAAGCACTATTAAAGTAATTTAATAGGGCTAGCTGTATAATTGCCTTATAGCAGTAATGCCATCTTAGTTTATACACTTCTTGCCTCATGCTTGAGAACCTCAGCCTGAAACTACCAGGGATGTAATAACTGCCTGATTTGTAACAAACTACAGGTTAGAAAATTGATAACCAACCTCAGGGGAGACCTCTGTTATTCCGAACTGGGATAAACTCTGATGCAAAATGTTGATATTAAGGGAACGCAGCACTTCTTCAGATGGGAGTGCCTCAGAAATTCCTGGCTTTCTGTTCAGTGGGGACACAAATAGTTCTACACAGTTCTTCTTCCCCTAGGGAAAAAAAAAAAAAAAAAAAAAAAGCAGAGTCATAGGAAGGGTCTGAGATTAGATAATCTCTGCTGTCTATAGATTGTAACTATAATTCCAAAAACAAAAGCATGGAATAAAAAGGCTGCAACCTGCTCTGTGAGGAAAGTATACCTGTTCCCCAACTCCTTATACCCCAGCTGACTGTGCAAGAAAATGCAAGTACCGTATGTGGTCACATGTGCTTTGTCTCGTTCACGATTGACAAGATACCCTCCTCCTGAGTCTAGTACCATTAAACAAGACAGGTCAATGTAAGATGGTGAGGGGAGGAGCCATGGGATGGGCTCAAGGGCAAAGTGCCAGCAGGGATTTTAGCAAGCAGTTCATCTGAGCTGAAATGCAGCCCTGTTTTAGAAGGTGGTCCTGAAACAGGAACGCTTAATATAATGCTGTGGTATTTTGGCACTGCTTTCTAATCCTGTGTCAACACACTGGAGACACATACCACAACAAATTATAAAATCCTTTTAGTCGACTGCAGTGCAAGTCCTTAAAATGGCACACCAAAATGAAAGGACCAAACCAGTTTTGTTTACATTTAATGGGTAAGCTGAGAATGCCTTCTCTCCCATTTATTAGTTCCTGCCCTGGTGTCTTTGATGCAGTCCTGGTAGCCCAAGGGCTGCTGTATTAGAGATGTCAATGATGCTCACTCTGTCGCAAGGGAGCAAAAGGAGAGGCTGTCAGAGGGTTCCTCTGGTTGTGATAGACTAGAACAGCAACTGAGACCGGTGCTCTAGACAGTGCTGATGTCCAAACAGGGTGTGGGAACCTGGGTTCCCCAGGGCTATGGCCAACTTCGCTGAGGCTGTGATGTAGAGTCCAGACCTGGAGGGTTCCACATGCAGGGTGAGCATGGACCTACTACCTGCATTGCTGCCTGTGCAGGCAAGAACCTTACCAGACTGCTTATTTGCTATTCATCGTTATGGGATGGGAGAGATCAGTTCAAATGGGGATAATCCTGATTTTCCCCACCTCCTTCCCCTCACCTTGAATGTGCATCTTTATCTTTACTGAGGAAAAAGACATCTTTTGCTATTCTTAAAATATCTAGTTTTGCATTCAGAAGTAGTGCTGCACAGAAAGGGACAAACGTGTTTACTCTAAAGCTGCCCTGCGTGGTCTCACATGTGCTGCTGGTCCATCTGCTCGATAAGACTGGTAAGGATATCGGCTCCTGGAGGGACTGGGCATTTTTCAGTGGGACTGTTCTTATCAGGAGGGTTATAAGGAGTGAAAACAGACCTACAGGTCTGGAGCGTCAGTTCAAGGCAGACTGTTGTCAAGCTAAGAAGCTGATTTGAGGCCGCAGTCCTATTTGGTCTCTGATGTGGGTAGGTGGCTGGTTCTGGGTGTAGGTGGCAGGCACAAGGCAAGGCTTGGTGGGGATGCAGCATTGCCAGTGTTCCATGTGTTTAGGAGTTCCTCTGCCCCTTAAAAGGCCTTTATGAGAAGAGAATTTATTGGAAAGGTTAAGGAGACACTGGAAATGCCCAGTTAATATTTCCTGGCACACTATGTGTTGTTATATGTAAGAGGCTAGCAGGCCCTCTGCTCTCCCTGTGCCCAACCACATCCTTGGGAGGGATTCAGCTTACCTCACTTCAGTCATCTAAACTACCTCCAAAGTCAATGGAGAGAAACTGGCATCTCTAGAGAATGATTTAATCCATCCTAAAATAGTTGGGATCAAAATGCCTCTCCTCTTCCAGTTACCCTTCTCTACATCGCTTTTACAGGGAGCCTAGATGAGTAGCTTGGACTAGGCTGAAGTGAGGCGAGATGAATTTTGATGTGCACTCCTTGCTTGCCAGCGCTCTGCATGAGAGGAACTGTCTCATGTTAGAAAGGTGCAAAGTCGGAATAATGTCTCTGAAGATATATTTTTCTTCCTCGGGAATTTTGACTGTGTGTGATTTTTAGAGCAAATAGGGCAAAAGTTTGCTTTCTTTCATATATCACTAAAATATCATAGCAGACTTTTACAGATGTTGAGAAGACTAATTAATTAATAGCACTTACAGTATTCTGAGCTATATGCAGGTGCAAAATGACACTACCTCTTCCCTTACATCACAAACGAGAGGAGAAAGGGAAAAGCTATGGATCCAGTAGGAAAATAAATAGCATATTTCTTCTGCTTAGTTACATAATTTCTATAGAGCATAGTAAGAAAGCTACTAAGTGAGTATATTGAAATGCACATCCCAAACTCTGGAATGATTCTCCTTTAATTGTGCTTTTCTCTGAATATGTCTTTCAACCTTTCATTCTGGTTAATGCAGGGGACAAAGGAGATTTAGCATCACTTGTTACGAATGAGTGACATCCCTGGCGAACATGAAAAGGGCTGCATTGCATTCCTATTGATCTTTTCTGCTGTACTTCTCATCTGATCTTTTCTCACAGAGACATTATTTGAAGGAGTTTTATAATCCTTTTTGATGTATACAATCCTATCAAGCTATCAAGGCAGGAAATACTTTTATGCTGAACCTGTCAGTTTTCTTCCCTGATATTCAACCTCTATGTAGAATAAAATAACTCTTCTTCCCTCTGCAACATGAATAGAATGCTAGCAATACACACATGATGTTGTTTTTTTGCTTCATGGCAAAACTGTTATAAAAAGACAACAGTGTTAAGAATGTATGCTCTTAACCATACACAGAAAACCATACAGTGACAATTGCTTTTAAAAAGTCTTTGTTGCTAGAAGCAAATTTGTCGTCATCTTTCGCAAATACGATACCGTAGTCTACAAGATCATTTCTGAGCATAGATTGTTATAGCTAAATAGCAAAACATGGATATTAATATTGTGAGAAGACATTTAATTTACTAATGGAAAGTCTGAGGATAAATTGTGAAGGTGCCTTTGAAAGGCAGAATCACATATATTTTTTGAGCAACACTCAACCTTTGAGAAACAAAACATGAATAAGTGTTTCTTAATGAAAGTGATGTAGAACTGCATTGGAATTAAAACTGAGGGATAAGCAATCTGCTTATGAATAAGACACAAAAGAGATTTATCTGACGTAATTTTTCTTTAGACTAACTTTCCTTCTAATGGTTTCCTCTCAAAAGAAAATTTAAATAATTTTGTAATGGAGATCTATTTTTCTGCAGTGCAGTTAAAATATTGGAAAAAAGTATTTTTCTGTCCTATTTTATTGCATTTTTCCATAGTGATAGGCAAATAAATTTAAGAGAATTCAAAATAACCAGGTACATTTTATTATTCATAGCCATTTGGTACTTACAATGAGTCTGTTGATATGAACTTGCTGAGGTAACAGTCCCAGTGCTGCTGCCACTCCTTGGCGAAATATCCGAAGCAATGTGATATTCAGCTTGTTTACATCCATTTGCAGTGTCTGAAAAACAAAAGCAGTTCAAATGAACTCCTTGTTCAACATATTCAGTTCTTAAGATGACTGATCTCTGGGACTCTTCCCTAATTGTTTTTTTCCCAGAATGATAATCTCTGCAATCTACTTCCATCACAATAAAGAATAAGTCCAAAGGAAAATTTATGCATCTTAAATGCTGCTTTTAAGCAAAGCACCACCTTTCCTCAACTACATTCAAAATAGGTTCCAGAGTTTTTTGGCTAAATTTCTTGGACAAGTCACAGTGTTCAACATAACACAATTACTACATTAAAAATGAAAGTCAGGCATTAAACATCAATTCACCTTTGAAGAATGAAATGTTGGATTTACACAGTGAAGATTTGCTTTAGGTATTATCTTAGCATTTCTCTCTGCAGGTGAAAAATGAGTCACACATAGTGAAATTATACAATTTTAATTTTGATTAGTGGTTTCTGAGATCAAAAAAGAAATATTCTGGATACGTTCCACATGCTTGAATTTCCTAAAACTTCCTCATGTGAGTCAGAGAATGCTATAATTCTCAGCAGAGACCAACTATATCACTGAAACATTTTTTCATTTTCATGTGTTAGTATCATAGTGAAATTTAAATGTTTCCTCAAGTTCAAATCCTTCCTGTGAAGTCAGTCAACTTTTACCCACGAAACAATTTAGGTTAAAATCTGTTTCGAAGAAGACCCAGATATGGGGCCTTCACATGATGCCTGGTGGCCAGTACTTCCATGTGGTACCTTGGGATCCCTTTCTTCGCTTCCATATCTCCTTAGCAGACAATATGTAGTGGAGAAGAGAGGGAAGAGAACTATGTTACACAATCCCAGAAGGCTTCGGATGTTTCTGGCAACTTCTGACTTAGGAAGTTACTAAGTTCTGACTTAGCCAGTTGACTTGAGCTGAAAAAGATTTTATTTTAAACTTCCTATTTAGGGCCAAAGGCCAGCTTGCTGCTCTGAGGATACAAGCAAGTATTCTTCCTTCCTAACCAGAGCTGCATAAAGAGAATTAAATATCCATGAGTCAGACATCACACTGGGAATATGGTTATGGTCTAGAGAGAAAGGCAACTTTTTTCTCAAAGAAAAACAGCGTCACGCGTTTTGACTGTTGTTCTTTATTTATCAGTAAGTATTTATAACTTACAATGTAAAAACCATAAAATATTTGCTTTCATTTTCCACTGTCAATTTGATTTTCCATCAGTACTGACTGGTTTTCATTCTTTTGACCTTTTTCTCAATTTTTTACACTAATGGGATTGTCAGATCTTGATGCGTCAGCTGAGATCTGCTCACACAGCTGAGCTTTAATTCAGCTGGAAGTATTATAGGATTCTTCAATTTAAATTACCCTTTCTACCTTGGCATTTTCAAAATGCAAAAACTTCTTCTCTTTGCCTCCTCTTGTATTAGACAGACATCCTGAGTGGTTACAAAACTGCTCCAGCTTTGTCATCGAAACAGAGAAATGTTTTGAGAGGGGACATATGGAGATCTAACAGATCTGAGCACCATTTCTTCTGTGCCCCAGACTGGCTCACTCCAGCCATGGCACACCTGGGCAATACAGCAGACGAGCAATGGTTTGGAGCTGTGAAGCCATCACTACACTGAAAGTTGACAGCCTGGTCTGAGGATCCTGGGTAAGTGAGAAAGGGAGTTGTTGCAGAAATAGGAAGGTGGTTGTGAGCGTCCCTAGAGATCCATCAGCATGGTATAAAGAGCATGAAACTGCTTGTCTAAAAGTCAATGACCCTGAGTTATGAGGATAATGCTAACTTATTTCTGAGAAAATTTAGTGAGCATAAAATCAAAATACACTCACTTAAACATTCACAAGCCCTGGTCCTC